TTGTCGTATCGTATAATTTAAAAAAGAGATTTTTAAAGCTAAAACTTTACTCTATCAAGATATATTTATATTGTTGGTAAGAAAGTAATTGCGGTTTTTACTGATAGATGTCTTTTAAAAAAACGCGATGACTTTTTACTACACCTAATATTATAATAAAGTTATTTTCCATTAAGTACAATACTTTTCATGTTATAAGACTTGAAAGTTACAGTACCGCCGTCGGTATTAGCACTACCGCATTACCAAAGGTGTCTGACCGATGGTTAAAACCTCTTAAACATTTAGGATCGTGATTTGGATAACATTTGTTAAGATCAAGGCCTATGGAGATTATTTTTCTTATTTTCATTTTTGCACTAAAAATTTATTTGTACATAAAAATGAAAGTAAGCGGTACAAATTCCAATGGCCTTTCGTTTAAAAAAATCGATCTGACCTTAGTGATGCCACTTAAGGTCAAACTGATATGATCAGTAAATAGATCATTTTAACTATACAACTTTCGTATGAAAGATTTTTCTCAGAAATGCTTACTTTTCAAGATATTTAAGAAGTCCGGGACTTTTCGAATACCCTCTATATCACATGTATAACGTTTGTGTCAAGTTTGCTTTGCCTTAGTTGGCTGAATCGATACTTCGTCTTACACACATATGTGAATACATTACAATCTTACCGATTATCATCGAGCGAATAGGATGCATTTTCATACTTTAGTGCTCCATGATTCGGTTATTTTTGGGCTTTGTGCCCATTAAGACATTTATTCAGGACAGTAAAGACGACAATATACTAAATTTTCAGATAATTTCACCGGAAGCCAAAATCCAGGTTGGTGCGGGGTCCTTTATAACTTATACAATTCGTTAAACATGGATTTAATAGTTGCATTTAAAAAATTTAAGATAAACAGCAGTAAACATAACATGAAAAACAATATTTTGTATAAAAGGAAGATTCGAGAGACAATAAGCGACAGGACTCGAGGATTATTCATTTCATTATTAAGATCGTTTCGAAGATGCGAATAAGCATCAAATATTTGTTAAATTGCTAGTCAATTTAATTTGTGATGTTACTGCGTTTAGTAATGTAGTTTAGTAGAATTAGCGTTTTCAAGACCGAAAAATCATTTCGGTGCGCGTTTCTGGGGACTGCATACGTAGTATATAAATTCACACAAAAATCATACAAGCATTTAAGATCCAGCTAGGCCGTTTAAGACTTTGATTTCTATAGTTTGTGTTATCACATATACGGTCTTATAATATGTTATATTGTATAAAATTTAAGATATTTGTGATAACTTGAAACCAGGGAGAAAGATTAAGGAGACGTCACTCAGTTTAACCAGTCTTCAGAGAATAGACTGATTTTGCGTTTCGAATTAAGTTTCGATTCTCGACGTTTGTGAACTTAGCAGTCCTACGCATAATGAGTGCACCGTAGAAAAAAGTGTCATGGATGTAACTTAAGCCGTAAAGGCGATTTTATCTGCGGTTAATCTTTCTTCCTGACAATCCTGACGAAGATCAATCGCAGATACTTTTTCCTACAGTGCACTCATTATACGAAGGACTGCCAAGTTCACAAGCATCATGAGTGTCAAGACTTAATTCGAAACGCAAAATCGGTCCACTTTTATTAACGTAAGTGGAGTCTCCTTAATTTATCTCCCTGCTTGAAATAATACAAAAATGCTCTTACTAATTGTAAGTACAATTCGCTTACAAATCTTGTTAAGATGTAATTGAAGGTTGAAGTACAATTTGCTTGTAAATCTTGCAAAGATGTAATTCAAAGTTTCGGATGAGAGCTGTCTTCAATAGATGATCGTCAATAACAAAGACTAAATACAAACAAATTGTATGAGACACTATGGTCATCCTATTATTAATATGTAAAATAGCGACAATAAGATTTTTTAGAATTATCAAATTAAAATCCAAATATCAAAATTATCGGTCACAATGAACAGTTATTAAATAATTTGTACATAACGTATCAATAATATTCACAAATAATAAAATGTTAGTGATGGGATTTATTAATAATATACATAGTAGTTCCGCATACTATTTTTATTTTTTATTTTTAATTATTGACCACCATTCACCGAAAATAGCTCTCATCTGAAACTTTCAGTTACATCTTTAAGATTTATGAATAAATTGCACTTACAATTAGTAAGAGCATTTTTGCATTGTTTCAAGTTGTCACACATTAAATTTTATATTTAATTAGCATTTCTTTATATTTATGCTATGTATCAGTTTTAATGATTACTCATATTTGAATTCGTTATACACTGATGATGACAAGAGAATTGATCACGTTGCGCACTATTGGATACGTTCAATTAGACACAGCACGTGTATGCCGGATACTGCATAATTCGACGTATAATCGGATACTGCATAATTCGATACCGCGCAATCCGACATTGCACAATTCAGCAATTCATGCAATTCGATACCGTGCAATTTAACACCGCACATTTAGATATCAAATAATTTGATACTGAGCAATTGGATACTGCACGATTGAACACCTTTCGCAGACACAAAGTGAAGAGTTTAAGAATACAAATTCTGCTTTAAAACACAGAAATTATATAAAAGTGCATCTAGGACAGTGCGGTCGAGTTATCCAATCGTATCGCGTCCACCAATCGAGTGCGTCATGATTTTTACACGGAAAGAAATAATTTGAAATAGTGAGTGTGAGCCTTTAGAATACAATACAATGCACGGAATGCAAGAGATCTGGGTTCGAGGCAATATTTTTCGCAATAAATTTATTAGTTTTTTAAAATTTGGGAAATTTTGGGGGGATTATTTGTTTCAGATTGATTGTGTGAATCCGATAATTTCATCGACTCGCAATTTATTTCTAAAAATTAATTCAATTTAAATGAATGTATATTATATAGTAGTTCAACATCTTAACACTCGGACCGGTAAGGCGCTTCGCATTTCAAGTTTTAATATAAACGGTCTCGTTTCCAATCATATTGTTTATAAAGAAATAATTATTAATTGAAATTTAAATTACATGATTTTTGTTTTATGTAGTTTACTCTAAGACATATATTATGTCAAATTGTGTCATATCCATGCGGTATCTAATCCTGCTGTGTCTAATTGAATGTGTTCATTCAAATGTTGCATGTCTAATCGAGCGGTATCCTATCATAACGTATGCAATTGTTGTCACTGAAAAAGAGAAAGTAAAGAGAAAGTGTTTATTATGATATGATAAGTTTTATCGATTAATAATTTAGGATAATTATTTACAACAAGGATGTACACCCCATCAATGACAATATGTTATCAAGGTCATAACCTTGAATGACTTCCAACAAGTTTTAGCCGTTATTCGTTAAAGTTATAAAAAAATTTGAAAAATGATGTCCCGTTTCTACTATATATAAAATATAAATTTTCTACTTTAAAATATATTTTATGACTTTCCACGCAAAGCGAGTTCCACTCTACTTCCTTCCCTGCCAAGGAACGTTCGACTTTTCACGCAAAGCGAATTTCATCTCATCTATCACTTGTCAAGGAATGCACGACTTTTCATTCAGGTAGATCGTGCTTCGCGTGGAAAGTTGTATTTCTTTAATCGGTCCACTTCGTATCTCTCCCTGTCTAGAGTTATCAAATTTTTCGTGTAAAGAAGGGAAATAATTACTAACTTTGATTGTTAATAACTTTATAACGAATAAAGAGCGAACTAATAACGGCTAAAAGCTTTGTTGATTACCCAGGGTCATGATCTTGACAACATATGTCAAGGTTAAGGTTATTGGGGAAGGGGTTCCCTATTGTAAATAATTATCTAATTTAGCACTAATACCTCTAATAATCTCTGACTCGCACAGCCCTTTATTTCATTAATTTTTTAATTATTTTAATTGAGCATTTTACTATTATTATAATTTTAACTACATTTTCCCGTATTGTTAGACTTTATTTTGATAAGAAAGACGATAGTTCGGAGCGAGGTTCCGACAACACATGCCACTCGTGCATTGCCGCTTGTACAACCTCTCGCGAGTCTAGTAACCACTGGGGGCCGTATCTCGCTACGAGCTTAGATTTAATGGTAGACTAGGGCCTCTATTCTGTAACTCTTAACGCAAGTTTTTATCATGGTAAAAAAGCGCAACGACGTTATAACGATAACGAAATTTGCATTAAGAGTTGCAGAAAAGCCCTGCAGGCCTATTAAGGGAGGATTACTATTTTTTGAGTCAAAAAAGTCGATTTTTTGAGAATTTTTTTTTTACCAAAGTCAATACAATTGAACTCTGGCATATTGTTTTGTGATACTTTAATGGAGTTACAGGTTTTTTTATTTAATTTGACCGTAAATTACGCCCTTTCTCTCTTCTCAAACATGGCACCATGTGTCGTACTTCATTCATTGGTTCGCAAGATATTTTTCTTCCAGGTCATGTATTATAAAATGCAAAACTTGATGGAGTTTTATTTTATATATATATATATAT